GCTCTATTGATTAAACCTCCCAAAGACATTTGTAATCTGTATTCCAAACCAAATTATCTCCATTTTTAAGCAATGCTTGCACAAACCATGAAGTACAACTAAATGTAATAGTCTCCTTAGAAAGCCAACAGGGGAAAACAGAACTGAACAGGTTCAGCAAGAAGTTAAACATTCTGTTTTAAAGTTTTAACCCAAATTCACATTCTTTACAAAGTTTCTAGAAGAAAACCTCTGTGAAGGTAGTGAAGATGAACAAGTAGGAGCCTACACAGGCAGAGCAAGGCATCTATTATAGCTGTCTGAACCACTGGGGCTTACCTATTTGTCTCTAATGAAACAGGTGTACTAAATTGAGCCCTGAAAACTACATTTACACTACTGTTGTGCAGCAGCAGGATAATTTAACAGTGACATCAATAGTGATATGTGAAATACATATTTTTTAGAAGCATGTCAGGAACAAATAACAAATCATGCACGTCATTTACTTCACAAGGGGGAACTAGAACCAAAGAGGAAAAATTGCTGCCAAAATTCTGCAAACAGAAGTTTTGAAGGGTAGAGTCAAGCTGGAGCCACGCTAATCACAGAACTGGAGTAATGTGGGGCAGGAAGGGACCTCAAAAATCCCAGCTGCCCGTCCCAGTTTGGTGGCACCCCACGTATGTTGTCTGTAGGCTGTATTCCTCCATCCAGATTTTTAATGACAGTTAAGATAGGCTGGATGACACACTGCCTAAAAGACCCTACTGGATACACCTTCCCAGTGTGACCACGAATGGATTTAGTAACTTCTCTTCCAGTGCAGAAAGTATTGAAAGAACACCCCAAACTTTTGGAGACTGCATTTACATTACTTCTCCATGGTATTCAGAGGAGGGCATCGTGCAGGATGGGCCTTCAGAATCACAGAATTATCTAGGCTGGAAGAGACCCTCGGGATCATTGAGTCCAGCCATCCACCCTACTCTAAAGTTCTCCCCTACACCATATCCCCCAACACCACATCTAAACGGTTCTTAAACACAGCCAGGGATGGTGACTCAACCACCTCCCTGAGCAGCCTATTCCAATGCCCCACCACTCTCTCTGTGAAGAATTGTTACCTAATGTCCAGCCTAAACCTACCCTGGCGCAACTTGAACACATTACCCCTTGTCCTATCATCTGTAACTTGGGAGAAGAGACTGACCCCCGCTTCTCTACACCCTCCTTTCAGGTAGTTGTAGAGAACAATAAGGTCTCCCCTCAGTCTCCTCTTCCCCAGGCTGAACAACCCCAGCTCCCTCAGCCTCTCCTCATAAGACTTACTCTCCAGACCCAGACTCCAGGTCAGGACACTTGTCAATTTCTTCCCTAAACCACGTGGCCAAGTGGACCCCCAGCAGAGGTGTAAATTTCGTACCTTGGCAGTCAGTACTGGCTGCTGTGCCACAGCCACACCACCTTCTTGCACACTTGGTTTCAGACTGATAGATTAGCACACGCACGTGGTGTATTCTTTGGCCGCTGGTGCCAGGCAGCTTGGGTTCCAGTTTCTCCCACCCACCTTCACCTCCCCAACCCAGCTGCCCAAACCGGGGACCCCCTGTGCCTCACCAGGCCGGGGTAGAAGCTTTCGCAACCCCACCTTGAACACCAATCAATTTCCTACTCGCACCCCTCAGGAAGGTCTGACCCAGGTTAACCCTGCCGAAGAGAACAGCCAACACCGGGACCCAGCGCTAAATCCCGTTATCCCGCCTCAGCCGTCGGAAGGCTCCCTGCCCCGAGGGGGGAGGCCTCCGTGTGAGAGGCGCCCCTCGCCACAGGCCTCCCGGGCGGGGCGGCACGGCGGGGGCCGGCGGGCTCCCCTCTGCGGGCACCAGCGCTGCCCACCCGGGGCCGCCACCCTCCAGGGCGGCACGGCACGGCTCTCCCCCGCCCCGAGCACCACCGTTTGCCGGCATCGTTTCTCCCCACCTCGAGCGGGGCGCCGGGCACCTCACACTTCCCGTGGCGGCCGCAACCTCCGCCCCGTCGGGGTCCCGGGGCTGGCGCGGAGAGCCCTTCGGCGGCCCAGCGCCTCCCTCCCTCCATGCCCGGCTTACCTTGGCGGGCGGGCGGCGGGGTCCCGTGGACTCCGGGAGGCGCTGCGAGTAGGGCGGCTCCGCGGCACCCCTGCCCGGCAGGAGCTCGCCCGCCCTCCGCCTGTGGGGAAGTGGGGCCGCCCCGCGGGCTGCCGGGCGCCCCGCAGCGGCCACCTGCGCGGGAGCCGCCCCGCTGCGGGCAGCACCGCCCTCCCCGCCTTCGATCCCCGGGGCAGCCCGCTCCCCTGGGCCGTGCGAGCCCCTCGGTAGGGCAGGAGGAGCCGGGCCCGCTCCCTGCGACGGCTTCTCCTTGCGGGGACTCGCCGCTCGACCGACGGCTGTGGAGAGCGGGGGCGGCCGCCTCCCCTCCGCGCTGTGGGGAGGCCGCCGCCTCACCAGCCTTAGGGGCACCTGAGGTGTCCACAAAATGGAACCCGCCGAGGCTGGCGGGGATGGAGGCCCGGGCGGGAGTGGCTGTGGCCGGTGCGGGGGCAGTAGCCCCCGGGGGAGCCCCGGGCAGCCCAGCGATACCTCCTCCGGCCCTCTCCTGGGTCCCCTCCGCCGGGGCGGGCGGCTCTCGGCTGGGCAGCGCTGCCATGGGCTCTCTGGCCTTCGGACAGAAACGTGTTTCTTCCCCCATTCTGTTTAGTGACTCCCCGTCCTTTTTAAATAAGGCTGCAAGTGGCTTTCATGGCATTTTTGTGTCGTTTTGTAGCACCACAAAGTGCTGCTTTGAAGTAGAGTAACTGAGTGGAATAACAAGTTAAATTCCATAAAAAGATGGAAAGGAAAACAACAAAAAAAATCGGGTTTCCAAATGAAGTTAAAAAGGCAAAGTTAAAATGAAAATTCAGTGCGGCCCTGGTAGGGTTAATGTCCTCAAGTTATAAAGATGAGATTCTAAGATAGAATAGAACCCTTCTTGATTTAAAATCCTATTTTGTCTCCTGATTTAAAATCCTATTTTCATTGTCCATAACTTTGCCAAACCAATGCTTTTAGCTAAATTTTTCTTACATGTCTAAGGCACCGACAGACAGTGTGTAGTGAATGAAGGTGAAGATGTCACCGTCTCCTACTTCTGTTACTTTAGTTTAAAAAAGTCATCAGGTAGTTTAGCTTAATCTTGTGTTTACAGGCAATTTATATTAAAACACCACGTTTTGCTCCAAAGCAGCCAAGAAATCTTATGTTCTGTTCTTCTAACACTGCTGGAGATAAAATAATTATAGCAGAAGGATGGTAGCATTTTAAATTACCACCACATTTTGCACAGCAAATATGTTTCAATGCTTTAAGGGGTAATTGCTTTGAAAAATTCCAGCTGAGACAGCTCAGCCATATTTAAGAATGCATTTAGGGAATAGTACATTGTTCTGCTCATGATATTTAAAAAAACCCAAGTTATTTCACTGAGAAGCTGGCTAAAATTTGCCAGAGACTTTGCTGAGGTCATAACTGCATCTTTGGCCAGGCACGTGAAAATACATCTAAATTTGGCAAACTTCTTAGCATTTGAAAAATCATGCACATAGTTAATAAGCAGTTACTAGATCAGCATCTTGGGAATCTGAATTCCGTGGATACTGCGTATTCTCTTTGCCGACTCTGCAGTTGTTCCTTTTTGGGATCATTATGGTCCCAAAGAAAGAGGTAATTTCAAAAGATGAATTAGCAATCAATTTATATATTTTTTTAATTATCCCAAAGTCAAACTTCAAATCAACAGTTTGCAGTGAACACTTTGCATGTATTAAAAGAATAATATTTGATGGTGCATTTTGTTGTAAAAAAGTGTTATTTCACTTCTGTATGTGACCTACCAGTAACATGGCCACGCCCTGATTACTGGTTTCACACTTCTTTTGCTGGTGTTGAAATACATGACCAAGATAATTGTTATGATAGTGTAGAAAATATCTGTTCTGCTTGTACAAATGAACCTTTGTTTTCTCCGAATCTAGATTTGTTCCTGTACTCTCCAAATATCCTGAAATAAGGTTGAGAAAGTTGAAGGGCCATATTTTCCCCCTCTCCTTGTACCTGGCTGTAACGGATGGGCATTCTCTCTACGAGGAATAGTGGAGTTGAGAATGGCACATCTCTAGAAAGCACGGAGAAAATCATAGAAATCCCAGAAAATCTTTAATGCTGAGAAGTTTTTGGTCTGGATTCCTGCATTCCTGCATTCAGGAGCATGAACGTTGTGCTCCAGTGGGATGGGTGGAGGTCATCGTGTGTTCATGAGGAAGAAATGCGGTGAGGGAAGCGCTGCAGCAGATATGGATTTGATTAACAGCGTGTGTCCTAATGTTAGAGAGAGGCAAAGTTCGTGGAAAGAGCAGGTGGAAATATGTGATGCTTCCTGATTTGTTTTCTCCTCTCTCAACTAAAACAAATGTGCAGCAGAATCATTCCCCTGAATTCCAGCCCCCCGGTTCTGCGCTTCTCCAAAGGCTTTTCATTTTCTGATGGGAAGAAGAGACACATGCCCCACCCACGTTACAATTGTGTGTTTCACAGCAGTTGCATGACTCAGGATCTAACACATGCAATTACAAATTGTTCTTTTCCTTTCCTTATCACGGGGGAGCAGATGACTGGGTAGATATGCTGTCATTATGCACCCTCAGCTGGGCTTTACTGACCTCCACAGTCCTTGTGGATTGCATTTCATTGTACTGGAAGTTTCCAGAAAGCAGCAGACAATTTAGAGTTAAAGCAGAACATCTGTTTTTGAATGGGAACAAATAGATACATCTAGTGTCAGGAAACCTGCTTTTCATTGGAAAAAAAGCAATGTTTTACCATATATGCATTCCCTTAAGTTTCATTGACATCACTTTATAAACTGATAATGACATGACTTTAGAGAGTGACCTTAATTTTCTCTACAGGGTAAATGTGACACCACACAGTCTGCGATCTTACCTGCCTGGAATAATGCAGGATCAACCGGTAGCCCTCAGTGTTGTGAGTGGAAAGGGCGCAGTAATGTAAAATACTGCCAAAACATTGTGCCATTGACCAACTGTAAAAAAAAAAAATAAAAATCAGTGTATTAATTAGATCTTTTGTCATAGCAAAACACATAAAAGAAAATGGAAGGGTTTGTTTGTTTTGTTGTTATTTAAACACAACAACTTTCAGAACTCTGCAAGAATGGTGGTTTTGATCATAGAAGGCAAAGGCATAAATACAAGCTTCAAAATAGGATAAAAAAGTATCAGTTTAAGGCAAGCAATATCTGAAGGATGGCATATCCTCTTTTCAAATAGTACTCTGCAGACACTGGAAAAATCTTTGGTACAGTGACTGGATAGTCCTCTGGGGTACACCAGAGAATTTCTTTCACCAAGACACTGTTTTTTCCGGAAACCTAAAAGGTTGCAATTAGTGTGAAGTGAGTCATGGCACCACATCAGACTGTAATGTCAGGGCATTCCAGAAAAAATTGTATATCTGTTTGGCATCTTCTTAGATGATAAGGCCAAAAGCAGAAAGTACAGGGTTAAGAAAGTAGCAACTATAGGTCTTTCTTATGTTCTTCCAATAAGAATTAATTCTATTTAAGTTTGGGGTTGGTTTTTTTTTTCATATTCCTTTGTGATTGTGCAATACTGTGGAAGACCTCTAAACCATAAAACTTCCTATGAGAAAGATGAAATGCTCACATTTGAGATTTTATATGGAAGAAATTACCAAAAATAGCTTTTGAAAAATCACAGAAAATCCAATTTAAGTACAACTGCATTGGATGCAGAAGCTAGTTAGCAAGCACGTCACATATAATTCTTTAAAATTAGAACAAATGAAGAAGCTGACACTCAATACGCTAAAGAGCAGGTATGTGGCCAGATCAATTTCTTTCTGCCCATCTGTCCTTCCTTCCTTTTGATGGCATCTTTCAGTGACTCAGAACTAGGAATATAATTCTTTCTCCATAATTATTCACAGGAAAATTTATTTGCATTGGTTCTTAACAGTGGAAACCCAAAAGCAAAACAAAGCTCCAACCTGGATGAAAAGCTGAAGAAGAGATTCAAAGTCTATCTGAAAGTGTCAGCAGTGAAGCTGGCAAATTCACACTTTTAACTGCAGGAAATTATGACAGAAGTACTTCCGAAAAGTTTATGGTCAAAGCTTAGTTATTGAAGTTCTGCCCACTGTGATGATTTCAAGATGGATTTCCACTTTTTTTTTATTCTTTTTTTCTCTGTGTATGGTAGGGCCTCAGGTTAGTCAATGGCTTCCATTTCTACATATAGAATATGTTCAGGAAACAATTTACGTGTCCAGGCGTTACGCTGTTAAAATTTCAAAGGTCTTGATTCAAAAGCCACAGATGCCTGAGGGAGCTTTTTCTCCTTGGTTCAGTGAGTTTTAGATCAAGCCTAAGTTTTCCAGCTCTCATGTACAAACACCACTCTGTGTACAACCACGTTTCTTGTGACTGTTTATACATAGAGGATATATATCCCTTTCTGTTCTTTGAAAACATCTTTTCAAGTCAGCCTGCTTCACTGTGAGAGCTGAGCATCTAACACAAATTGCAGCTGAGGTAGGATAAGCCTGAGTAACGTATCTTGTTTATTAGTTTTATTAATCTTATGATAAAATTAAATTGTCTGCACCCCTAAAAGGAATCCTGCAAATATTGTGAAATGGAATATTGAAATCTCATCTAACTTGTTCAGAATGCTGCTTGCTATTAACTAGGAAATTGTAACCTGAGGGTCTTCATTTGAAAATGTCAGCATTTATTATTAACATTATTTCTTTAGGTTTACAAGATAGACTTTTAGCTATTGCTCAGAGCAATGTGTACAAAAGTTAGCTTAATGAGGAGCATCATTTTAAACTGGACATTTGATTTTATTAATGCTGTGTGATCAATTTCACATACGTGGCAAACTAAGCATGATATGAGCAAGGTTTTGAAGCTTCTTACTGAAGCGAATTTAAAGGCATTCGCAGACAAAAGAGGATGGAATTACCTGACTCCATTAATAGAAATAAATTAATGATGTATTTTACTCATTTCAAGCTCTTCAACCCTTTCCTTACCCACTTCTATCCTCTGTGATTTATTTCCCTATGCACTTTTTTTCCTGATTGTTAAAATGTTGTAAGAATGATTTACACAGGTAGACTGTTCATTTGAGGTTTCTTCCATCCAAAGGTCAGCCTGTGTTAACTCATGCAAGAGCCAGCTCTGAAGTTGATTCTCTGACCGCACCAGTGTTAAACTTTCTCCTTTACTTGCTCCCTGTTGGCTGTTTTCATTATATTCACATGAACATTAACATTTCCCCCATTGCGTGGAGACCCACGGAAAGCCTTTGAAACACTTAGCAGTCTTATTTTGACTACGTAATAGTAGTTGAAAAAAACTTCATAATTTTATGTTGAGATTTTTTTTCTTGTTTTTCAGAGTTCAAACTAAACTTGTATCACCCGCACCCAGACGCACTCCCCACTTCCCACAGTTTGCACAGTGTTTTAAAGAAAGCTATACGGAAATAATTGGCCGTATTTTTTGCTTGTTGGAAAGTATCTCCAAAATCTGAGTACGTATTTATTCATCTTTCCATCTCAGTGGGTAGTTTTCCAGTCCGAATGCTAGGTTACATCTTTTTGCACATGCATTTGATTTTTTGTAGCTGCATATTAGGCTGCAACGTTCTCTGCTGTTTATAGTAAGTATGTCTCTCAGAGCATATGTATAGTGTATAGCATTTGGCCAGCCATAGTGTGCATATAGGGTGAGAGAGAGTATGAGGAAAGTAGCGCTATAAACTAGCTGTGTTTTCTTTTCTACTCTGAGAAGTGGAGGTTTTGCACAATCACTTGTTTCCCATCAGCATAAGCACTGTCTGCAAGAAATTGATGGAAACCTTCAGAAATAGCCATCAAACTTATTTGTTTCTACAGCAGAAGGTCCTGATAGTTCCTGCAGACTAGCTTTTAGGTGTGTGGTCCTTACTGCTTGTAAGGGGCCAAAGTAGGAAGCAGAACTTCACTGAATTTCACTGAATTTCACTGAATTTCTAGAGTTGGAAGGGACCATAGAGATCATCTAGTCCAACTCCCCTGCTGAAGCAGGATTGCCCAGAGCTAGAGCATGTTACTCAGGACTGCATCCAGGCGGGTTTTGAAAATCTCCAAAGAAGGGGACTCCACAACCTCCCTGGGCAGCCTGTTCCAGGGTTCCGTCACCCTCACCGTGAAGAAGTTTCTCCTCATATTTGAGTGGAACCTCTTATGTTCCAACTTGTGCCCGTTGCCCCTCGTCCTTGCTTAAAGTCCTTGAACCAAATATGGAAGCCCTTGCTAAATATGGAAGCAGATGGGGAAAACTGATAGAGTTTCATCTTGCCCCACCGTGAAAAGAGGTACATATGAAATTAGCTCCTACGTATGAAAATAACAGATGGAATTTGGGTACACAGGCAATCCTTTCTGGTAGGTCCCAGTGAGCCAGACCAACTGATATAGCAGTGCAAGTCTACAGAAAAGGTACACGTAATACAAAAATTTGAGGCTAAGAGCTTTGTCACACTGTGACGACTTTGTCCTGTCTTGACCACCTCAGAACATTATGTTAGGTTTCTGTAGGATACAGGAGAGTTGTTAAGCAAATAAATATTCATCAATTTCCACCCTACCACAATCCTGTATGGTGCATGCTAAAAGAAAAGCTACTTGCTAGAGCTTAGCACACTGCAGTGGTGGTCTCAGCTCATGCCTGGTGGTTTATTCTGCTGCTGATAAATAAAGGTAAAGATTGCCAGGGAACTTACTTATTTCACTTGAGTCCATAAAAATTTGCCTCCATAAAATTGTGGATTACCTGAAGGGTAGTACGTACCCTGCTCAGGTAATGTACAGCTGAGCTCGGAATATCACTATTAAGAATGTGGAGACCTTGACCTTTCTATTCTCTCTTCTTCTACAGTTCTCCATGGCCTGTAGTTGGTGCTGTGAGCCAAGCAAGAGTAAACGTGAGACTCTTCTTCCACCATACAAAGAAATGACATCACCCCACCTGTGACCAGTTGCATCACTTTACTCAAGACTAGCATCTCACATGATTCACAAGGCTTAAAGTCCTTGAACCAAATATGGAAGCCCTTGCTAAATATGGAAGCAGATGGGGAAAACTGATAGAGTTTCATCTTGCCCCACCGTGAAAAGAGGTACATATGAAATTAGCTCCTACGTATGAAAATAACAGATGGAATTTGGGTACACAGGCAATCCTTTCTGGTAGGTCCCAGTGAGCCAGACCAACTGATATAGCAGTGCAAGTCTACAGAAAAGGTACACGTAATACAAAAATTTGAGGCTAAGAGCTTTGTCACACTGTGACGACTTTGTCCTGTCTTGACCACCTCAGAACATTATGTTAGGTTTCTGTAGGATACAGGAGAGTTGTTAAGCAAATAAATATTCATCAATTTCCACCCTACCACAATCCTGTATGGTGCATGCTAAAAGAAAAGCTACTTGCTAGAGCTTAGCACACTGCAGTGGTGGTCTCAGCTCATGCCTGGTGGTTTATTCTGCTGCTGATAAATAAAGGTAAAGATTGCCAGGGAACTTACTTATTTCACTTGAGTCCATAAAAATTTGCCTCCATAAAATTGTGGATTACCTGAAGGGTAGTACGTACCCTGCTCAGGTAATGTACAGCTGAGCTCGGAATATCACTATTAAGAATGTGGAGACCTTGACCTTTCTATTCTCTCTTCTTCTACAGTTCTCCATGGCCTGTAGTTGGTGCTGTGAGCCAAGCAAGAGTAAACGTGAGACTCTTCTTCCACCATACAAAGAAATGACATCACCCCACCTGTGACCAGTTGCATCACTTTACTCAAGACTAGCATCTCACATGATTCACAAGAGCATAAGACAATGATTTACTGAGATAGATGGAATAAGTTAACAGTGTTTTACAGATGATGTTGACAATGTAGTTTTCCATAAAATGCAAGTCAAATATGAGCTCTGTTTGAATTTAATAAAATAAATAGTATGTAAAAGAGGAACTTGATAATAGCATTGTGCTTCCTTTGGTAGCTTTTTTTTAAATTTTAGTAGGAGGAAGTGAATTGTCACTTCCTCTTCCATTTCATAGCTCAAGTTTCTACACTGCACAGTTGCAATGTACAGTTTATATTATTTTTAGAATACAGTTATAAAAAATATTTTAAACACTGTCGTATTTTCCTCATATGATAGTTTGAGTGTCTCATTGTCAAACATTTCTATTCTTGCCTAGTGACACAACCCTCTGCTCACCACAAAAGAGCTTTCTATGAGAATAAGGTAAAGCAAGTTTTGACCCAGCAAAATCAGTTAAAATCATTATACAGCTTAAGTATTCCAGCCAGAATCAGATGCTTTACTAGTCTTTCATGTTCCTGGGGATGAGAGTTCATACATACTAGCTATGTCAGTGGCAATTATAAGAGTTTCTAGCAGGACACATGAAGGCAAGGCTTTGGTTTTTGGGTAAAAATTTTCTCTAAAGTATTTCAAATAATGTAACTTGTCTTTGAGAAAACTGTTCTTTCTGCTCTAAAAATATGATAAGCATGAAAGATCTTTTGGCTGATAATGTTTCTCTGAAAGTAAGCAGATTATTTTCTCAAGCAGACTTAACAAATAACTTCAAGCTCTTAACCAATTTTGTCCAGGATTGTCTGGAAAAGGGGTGTGTTCTGGTTTACAGCTGTATTTAAGCAAAGCAATTAAGGATGTGCTTGCCCCGCACCCATGTTCAGTCCACTATGTTTGGTGTTCATACTCTGTGCTTTCTTATTCATGTTGAAATTTATATTTCTGCTCCCTTTTTGACTCAGTAACTCTATTCTCATCTCTTGGATGATCTCTGAACATAGTTTAAATTGTGTACTCTTCACATTTCACCCTTCAGTATTATTTTTTCTCATTTTCAAATGAAAATCCTTTGCAGCAGCATTTAGATTATTCCCAGCTGACAGAGGTCTTTCTAAATACTGGTAGCAGTAGCAGAGTAGCAAGTATGTGTACTACATTGTCCCTGGATTTCAAAAAACTTTTTGAAGAGGCTTTTTAGAAGTTTCAGATGTGAAGAATAAAATGTGATGGCACTTGTAAATTTTAATAAATGGGCAATGCAGAGATGAGAGCTGATGAGTCTATAGTGAAAGAGAAGTGGTGTGGAATGTGGGGAGTCCATAGAGGGACTTGAAAGTGAAGATCAGCAGCTTATGTTTGATATAAGTGAGAAGCCAGTGCCAGCTGAGGAATGCAGAGACTAAGTGATACAATAGAAGCATTGGGCCTAGAAAGTAATCTTCAGAGCAAGAAAGAATAAATGAAAAGGGAAAGACCACATCTGGAGACCAAGGATAAGGATATGAAACGAGAGCCTTGCTTCAAGCTTTGATGTATGGAAAGAGGGCACCTGTTTTAGTGCTGCAAAGAAATAATCACCACTCTCTAGACACAGCTGATCTGGGAGGATCTGGATATATTCTAAGTCAAAGGTGATGCCCAGTTTACAGCATGGAAGGAAAGCATGTGGAAGCAAATATTTTTCTTAAGTCTCTTCATTCGTTCAACTCGAGCTTGAGTTGACAGACGGATAAAGAGAAATGTTGAAAAGCATACATTGCAAGTGAACCTGGAACATATAAATGTGCATTCCAAGTAAATTCAGCAACTGGCATGCACTGGTTTTTGAAGCAGTCAGTATTGTCACGTACATGGTATGCACTTGATTTGTTACTTGTGAAGACTGTGAAAAGCAAACTTTTTACTTTGCTCCGGTGGTAGAGGGTTGTAATGGTAATAGGACTTTCAGAGACCAATGCAGCAATTTTCATCATAATTTTTTTCTGTATTCAGTTTTCTTTTCAGACAGAATTCTATGCAGACAGAATTCCTTGCCTTTTGATATAGACATACAAAGGGAACGTCTCATTTATATGAACATACTCCAGAAAAAAGTCTTAAACATTTACAACTTTGTGAATATCTTATTGTCTCATAAAGTGAAGATAGTCTTGCTTGACAACACTATATACCACTTTTACCTCTGCAAGGGTCATGTGAAATGAGAAGTGTAATCCACTTCAATTAAAAATGAAAATTTCCATAGTTTAATCTTTCTTATGGGTGTCTTTTTCTCTAGAAACTCTGAGTCTTGCATTCTCCAATGTATCTGCTTAAAACATTTCTAGAGGTTAAGGAAGCCCGCTTTTCCCTTAAAGCACAGAGAACTGGTAATAAAGCAATGGGGAGTGGGGTGAAGGAGCTAAATGTGGGTTTGGAAGTTGGTTTTCTAAGTCTGCCACTGGACATTTGTAACCAAGTTTAAAGCCACCTAAAAATGTCAAAAGAGCTAAATGTCACCTCAAATTGTAAAAAATATTTGGGTCCCATTAGCTATGTGACTGTGTCTAAATGGTTAGAAACCAGCACCTTAACTGTTTATGAATCAACTCCTTACGGGTGAAGAATGGGGAGGGAACACTTCTTTAGGTCTGAGATTTGTTCTGAACATACCTGCATTGGACTGTGACCCTCTCAGAGACTCTGGCCATGTAAGTACCTCAGAGAGTTAGATAGGTGATTTAACCACAGCACAGAAACTCCAACACAGCTCCTAAAAATACTGAGCAAACACAGGATGTAAGTGAAACCAGTGTAGTACATGAGAAGAAAGACACAGATATTTAGCCTGCTCAACGGCCTTTTTCTTTATAGAAACAACATTTTTGCCAGGTTAATATTATTTCTAGGAACAGAGGCCAAAACAAACACTCTTCTTGGACTATCTGAGGAAAATCTATCTTGAGTAGAATAAACTCAGCTGGGTCTTGATCAATCAGTGTTTGAAACATTTCCAGTTTGACTGTTAATGTGGTTTTTTGCCAAAATCTTAGGCTTTAAATTTATTTTAGAACTACATTGTTGAGGAAAAGTCTTTGTAATTGATCCTAGCCTATTTTTAGGATTACCAAAATAAGGTCTTGAGTCTTGGTGGTGGGCAAATAGCCATACTGAAAAAAGATCCATAAACATCTCACAGCTTGGAGCAAAGATCAATGTAAACTGTTTACAAAGGGTATTTGAGAGACCACCAGACACTGGAGCATTATTGAGAAGAACCTTGTGAGTTACTGTGCAGAATTCTGCACTAGGAACCAAGGGAGCTAATTTGCTTTTCTCTTGTACAGCAAGGGTGTAGTTCCTCTCCTAAGGAGAAAATTGAATTCTTCTTATTGATAAACTGGCAGTAAGATAAGCTAATATGGGATGTTTGTTGCAAGAGGTTTTATAATAGGTTGGAAAACACACATTGCACCTGATTTACACCTGTAGTAAAGCTCCTTTACATGTGGTAAATGTGGATCAAGTCTACAGTATTTAGTAGCTTAAACAATCTCAATTTAGTCATCTTTCTGAGAATAGCGTTCCTTTTTTTTAAATTCTAAGCTTGCAAACGGAAATGCAAATTGTCAGCTGCTACAGCACTGCCTGTCTTTGCAGAAGCCATTCATGGCAATGCCCTTTCCTCGGGTATGTCGGGAAAACTTTTTACTGTATATGAAAAGCCTCAGTTGTTCTTGAATGAAGGAAGATGAAGAACTGGAAACCTATACTTGCTCCGGTGCTCCAGAAACAGCTCTCCTGTGCACAGCACTCCCCTTGTTTGTCTGGAAAACTAGAAATTCTCGTGAATTTGGCAACCTCGACACTGAATGATTTTTTTCGGCATTAGTGATATATAGACAGCACTTCTGATTTTGTTATTTTGAATTCCAGGTTCAAGCTTCCATTTTTAACAGTGATTGTACACTTATCTAAAACAAAGTTGAAACATTCTCAGACTCATACCTGATGTGTGTCTAGTCTAGAGTGCTCACTGGAAGATTTCAGAGGTAACACTTCTCTTGGTTAGATGTAATTTCTTCATTGTTGGCCAGTGCTTGGCGTAGTCATTGTTTCTGACTGTTAGACACAAATCAATAAGAAGGGATGTTGCCAAAAGCTTTTCAAAACATTAAGTATATAATTTCAAACACAGTTGGGGTTTTTTTTACTTTTTTTAAAAAAAGTTTCAATGAGACTAATCTTTACAGAGTCTAGCAACTAAACTAAAATATAAACAGGACCATCTCGTCCTACTTCCATATTGTCAAGTCCTGGTCCAGAAGTTTTGGAAGTGAATGTCAGGTCTCTTAGTCTGTTCTTTTTTATAACACAAGACAAAAGGCTCTACACATACACTCTGTACTCAGCCAAATATTTTTTGTTTTGGAAAAACATTGTTTTGTGATTTGAGGACTTTTAAAGATAAAGAATCCAGTCTTGCACCCAGATAGCTCCAGATTTCCAAGGCATTTGGTTTTTTTTTTTTCTGCTTTGGTTTTTTGCCTGAAACACTGATGCCATTTATAGCTCTACCATTGGCTTTAGTGGATCCAGGACCTCTTCCTCATTTTTCACTCCTATTAGCTTTTAAAAATATTTTCTTTAACCACCATCTCTTTTCCCTCAGGGCTGTCTGATGCTCCAAGAGTAGCTGGTACATTTTAGTCCAACCTATGCCATACTTACAAATGTTTGCTTTTGCAAGGGCCATGGCGTTTTGATAGGTGGTAACCTGCTAGTGATTTATTTTATACCAAATGTTTAACACATAAGCATATACAAAACCAAAGCTTTTATTAGGGCTGCAAAATAAAACTTTCATGACTTAGGAAATGCCAGAATTAAGACTGCTGATATAAATTAATTTCTGTCACATGTTTTGCATACAGTATATAGCTTTTTATATGGCCTATACGCTTTTTTCCATAGACCACTGCCAGAGGCAAACACCTACGAGAGTATGTATTGGTCCAATCACCTGAAAACTGGCAAAAGTGTAAAAAACTCAAACCAGATCTTTTAATGGGAAAATCTGAGACAATTTTACTCATAAGGGATAGTTTCTGCTACTCCCGTACTGAAAAAGAGAGACAACAAGTTAGATTTGAGGTTTTCCTCTAGTCATTAGAAACAATATATGGAAGGAAATACAGCAATTAATATGGAACAGTTAGGTGTCTCTTGCACTAGATGACATTTATTTGAAAGCATTCTTTATGACCAGGAGGTAATCCCGCTCCACAGTTCATGGCAGCCCAAATGTAAGTAAGTAATCTTAAGTACCTCAAGCTCACTTTCTTCTAGACTCATAGATTCTAGATGAATTGTAGATGAATACGATCGTAGAATCATATAATAGTTGGGGTTGGAAGGGACCTTTAAAGGTCACCTAGTCCAACCTCCCCTGCCATGAGCAAGAACATCTTCAAATAGATCAACCTAGTTCAGCTGCTCAGAGGCCAGTCCAACTTGACATTGGATGTTTCCAGGGATAGGGAAACATCCCTGGAACATCCCATCTACCACCTCCCTGGGCAACCTGTGCCAGTGGTTCACCACCCTCATTGTAAAACATTTCGTACTTATATCTAATCTAAATCTTCTCACCTTTAGTTTAAAGCCTTTACCCCTTGTCCTATTACAACAGGCCCTGCTAAAAAATCTGTCCCTGTCTTTCCCATAGGCCCCCTTTAAGTACTGGAAGGCCACAAGAAGGCCTTCCTGTAGCCTCCTCTTCTCCAGCCTGAACAACCCCAACTGTCTCAGCCTGTCCTCATAGGAGAGGTGCTCTATTCTTCTGATCTTTTTGTGGCCCTCCTCTGGACCCGCTCCAATGGGTCCATGTCTTTCCTGTGCTGGGGGCTCCAGAGCTGGATGTGGTACTCCAGGTGGGGTCTCACCAGGGCAGAACAGAGGGACAGAATCACCTCCCTCGACTTGCTGGCCACGCTTCTTTTGATGCAGCCCAGGATGTGGTTGTCTTTCTGGACTATGAGCACATACTGTTGACTAACGTCCAGCTTTTCATCTACCAGTACCCCCAAAACAGGTCTTCTGCCTCTTAGTAGAAGACGTGTTGTATGAAGGCTTGTGAAAACAATAGGGTCTTCCAAAACTTAACTCGAGAGTTGCTCGAGAGAAATCTTTCTTCACGACTTGCATGCTGTTCCCATTACCATGATAGAGAGACCCTGTGGAACAAGGCAGACTCCTTGTTAAGGTGGTTTGATCAGGAGAATTTCTGGGCAGCCTGGTAATCCATATTTAACTACAAGCCTTCAAAGTAGAATGCAAAAACCTCTGTCCAAGCTATTCTCTCTATCCAAGCATGAATACATTAACAAGGATTCTGGGCTGCGCGACTAGTGCTCACATGTGGCATTACTGAAGAAGTGCAATCAGCAATTAGGAGAAAAGAGGGGGACCCAAAGGTTGTTGCTTCAGGAGGCTGAGACTTTTAGTACCGAACTAATGCTGATCAGCTAGTTAAGCCAAGACTGAGATGTTTTTATCATTGTGTCATCCAGCTATGAATGCATCTCTTTGGAAACACCGTTCTGCTGGAATGTTTTCTGTCAGAAGTTGCTGGTTCATTGAGAGTGAAACATTTCATGAAAGCTTATCTCAGCAAGCCTTATAATGGAATACAGATAACTTTCGACAGTCCTCTGCCAGGCATGTCAGCTGCCAGTTTTCCATTCAGTCAGATCTACTCCTCTGTGGTGGCCTCTTCCTTGTCTCAGGGATCCAGGGAACACAAGGACCTGCTGGGATTCAGGGCTCCACTGCTCTGGAAGAAATCGTTGCTTTTTGGAAATGCTGTGGATTTTTGTTTCTCAAATGAAGTTGTTACTGGAATATCTACTTCCTAAGAAATGTTTTAACAGTTTCCATTCTAAATCGGGACAAATTATGATTTCCAAGTGGTGAGATTTCTCAGAAAATGTAAATTCTGAGCTGTGGCCGACTCTAACCACGAACAGCTTCTAAGTATTTGTAGTCTGCCCCAAATGTAAAATCCTAGAAAAGGCAGAGTCTGGGAGTTTATCTGCAGGGCAGATACAGCTCCCTCGGAGGAAGCAGTTGCCGCACACAGAGATGGGGAAGCACACTGCCGTGCAGAGAAATGACACCGGGCTGCAGAAACAGCCAAATGGTAGCCCTAACCTTTCCAGCTGTGGTGTGTGCATTCTCCTGCTCAGCTACAGTACAATTAAGAACTACATTGTGAAAAGGACCTAGTTTTCTCTCAGCGACTGGAGAAAAACATTAGTATTTCCTCTCTTTGTGCTATTTTAACCATAGAAGTATAACTTACAAAGACTATACTTGTACTACCAGCCTAATTTGGTGTGTTTTTTCTATCCAATTATACAAAAATTATTTTGGGTGATTCCTTAAAATTGTTTGGATAATCAGGCCATTCCCAAAGTTACTTAGAAAAGAGGATTCCTCTTTTGTTTGTAGCTACAGAATTGTTGCAGGTGCTTCTGTGCTGGTGGGGGTTGGTAGTATGGGTCGTCTGAGAGCTGTGGCATTGATCTCACACAGAATAACTCCTCTTTTTTCTGACTCTCAGTACCCATATGCCAAGGTAACTTGACTTCTTCTTGTGTGCAACTTAGCAGCAGTGAAGTGTATCCTTTGAAATATGTTATTTCCCATTTTTTATTGTTTGCATGAAAACCTAGCATCTCTGTGGAGCTATTGCTTTATTATTGTCGTTATTCAGTGGGTTTTCTGGGGTTTCTCTGTTTGGACAGTTGTGAGTTTACATTTCTTTCCCCATACAAGCTAGATGGTAAACTGTTACCTGTAAAAGGATGACAGTCTAGACATCTAAGGGAGGCTGGCTATCTTATAACATCTGATGTCAGTTCTTTATGGAGGACATAGCAGAGAGAAGTACTACTTCGGTGACATGGCTCTCTGCTCTGTTTATCTAGTTGTTCCGTCCTCTAAGGTACAGTTACAGGCAAATTAGTCATAATGGATATCATTGCATGCCATTTGGCATGACATAAAATCATTCAAGGAAAGAAGGAATAAAAGTTTGAGGTCTATCCACTCTGTATCAGCAACTGTAGGTGATGGCTTTTTTTTAAGGTGAAATGTGTCAATTCCTCAGCACATACTATTAATCAGTTCATCATACTTTGATTAGGAATCCTCTTACAATGTACAGAATAAATTGCTTGAAAGCCAGTCAAGAAATAAAGACTGGAGGTTAGTAGACATTAGAAAGAATTTCTAAACAGGAAACTTATCAGTTCTGATGAAAACACCTTGGAATTTAAATATGATAATGCTTTGAAAACCAGTGAAGCATGTAAGGAGTTGAGCAAAAGTTAGATATATTGTAACAGGATTTGTTTCTCCTTATTTTCTTTTTCTTTCTTTCTTAACTAGTCATCATGCAAAAATCCCAATAGCTTCAATGTAAAAACTCAAAACTATTCCCATGCTTTTCATTGGGTTCATACTTATTTCTTTATTTATCAATCTTCTTTGGAAACCAACATTTACTAAAAATGACAGTAATATGTGGTAGATTAGACTAAAAAATAAAGACTTGTAAAAAATAACAACTGAAAACAACCAGACAAAAACATTTATTTTGTTCTGGTTTGGATTTTGATTAAAGAAAAATGCATATCTTGAAAGGTATGCACTGTAACAAGTCCTGCTGGATGCAATAGTATTTCAGATTGCTAAATTAAGCATGTCTGTAAAGCCTGTAGGATCAAATAATTGTAGTGCATTGCTATTGTAAAAGGCAGGAAAATAAAATGGAATTTAGATGGCACCTGGCATGGAATTTTTCCAAAACGGCTGTATGGTTACACTAGAGATTTAAGAAAAATTAATAAGCTTGAGCACTCATGTTTATGTATGACTACTTTGGATGTTTTTTGTTATCCATATTGCAAAATATGGATACGCTTAATATGGGTTGTCCAGACTTTTGCAAAATACTGGCTCATGCAGAGAGCACACACAAAAGAATATTTTACAGCATCCAGCTGCCTCAAATGATTAGAAACAAGGAAACAAGCAGAAAAAATGTGCCACTCAGGTTTTGACAAAGCAAATGGCCTTTAAGGAGAGTGGTGCCCCTCAAGTACCCAGGGTCTGGGCCTCACTTTGTAACCTCAAAAAACCCCAAATCACTGGCCATGGGGAGCAAAATTGGAGGGGAAGAGTGAGGGAGTGCGGGGGAAGCAGAAAAGTGAGGGAGTGTGGGGGAAGTGATTTCCTTGCTTGGGACAGGGATGAGACAGAATGGGATGGGACGGGACAGCACCCAGCAGTCTCTTTGGCCTTGGTGGGATGGGTTTTGAGGTAAGCAAAGCTCATCTCTCACTGCAAGGGGCACACTAGAGCTGCTGCGTCTACTTGCAGGTGGTGCTAAGCAAGTCTTAGCTCTTTCTGGGTTCTTTCTGGGCTTCTGTGCCAGTTTGAAGCAGCGTGGCAGTTTTGAAGCAATTATCCCAGTCTTCCTCACCTGTGGCATTTGGTTTTGGTCCTTGCAGAGGGGGACCCTTTTGGAGGAACCTAAAACATAAGCTCTTTTCTGGACAACCACCAAATGGGCAGCAGCTCCTGACTGGAGACGCAGGGGTCCAGACCAATTCTGTATGAATTCTGATCATGGCCAAGTCTGAAGTACACTCCCCAAACTGCACATAGTTTAGACACAGGGGCCTCCTTACCTAGTTCTTTGATCTGAGCCACTCCTGTTGTGCTCGTGAACACAGCCAACCTGAAAAATGCTGTGAAGAGAAAAAAAATAATGCCTTGCACCAAACCATCTTGCAAACACATGAAGTATGGATTCTCCCTGCCTATGCAGAGCCCGTGCAGGGAAAGGAAGCAAGGGTGAGATAGGTACTGCTTTATGTGTATTGACATACAAGTCCCTGACTTCAGTTTGGATCTTTGGCAGGTTTGCTGGGTGACCCTGCAGCACCCATGCAACAGTAGAAAGTACCTACAAATAGTGTCATATAGCTTCTATGCCATACACAGAACATTTTTCTTTTTTTTTTTCCTTTTTTTCCCCTCTCTATTTAATTGATGCACAGTTTTTCAATCATAAAGGACAGCATATGCATGCTTATGCTGCTTGGCAAACTGATGGCAGCATTTCACACTGCTGTATTCTGCACTTCCAAAGTCAAACCACATGAATCAGTACTCTCATTTGCACTATCACTGATACAATGTTTGCTTATCCAAAGGCTTTTTTTTTTCTTCAAAAAAAAAGTCTTTTAAGATTCAGGTTTGAAGTTAAATTCTATCCTTATTTTTCTCAGCAGTATATAAACACCTCAATTTCAGTAGAGTTGCTCCTGATTTGTGCTGTGACTGCAAATATCACGTCTCATGTAATTTCATGAACTATTAGCTTGCAGATGTAGCTACGCTGGGAATCATCCCCAACTCGATAGCTTTTCTGTGTCATTTCTAAAGATGATCCAAAGATCAGTTTCCATCTTAGGTAGCTTTATATGCGCTGGCATGGGTCCCCAAAGTAATACAGCTGTGATAGCAATGTATTGGCTACAAAACATATCCAGGAACCTGAGAAAATACAGAGGTATTAAATCAGAAGAAAGAATTAGCTCATCCAGAGCTCCATACTACCACAGCTGGGCTGTGGATTCCCTGGAGGGACAGATCCTGGAGGTTTATCCCCATTTATTGCACGTCTTTCTGTTGTAGAGATATTGGAAACCATAGAAAAACCTACGATTTCTCAGGAGTAGTTGACCCTAGAGTCTCACTTCAGTTGAAGGTCAGGGCAGAGAGTCCAGGAACTGCTGGGCGTTTCATGTAGGACGTGGTCTGGCAGGGCTTCCAGGCTTCCCTGTTGCGGGCAGGAGCCCTGCAACCTGGCAGGTCACCAGCCCCACAGAATTCAGCTGGGGGTACCACCCCTCTGCACCCGGAGCCTTTGCTGCTACACAACACTTCAGTTTTGACAAGCTGGGGTCTTCAAAAGAAATAACGCTTGGTCAAAGAAACGGCCAGCCAGTTTTAAGTGGTGTATTTGATATGCTTTTTCTGTAGCAAGGGAAACGGTAGATTAGCCAGTCTGGATGAAAAAAAATGGAGATTCCCAACCAGTTTCAAATATAAAACTTGCTGGGGAGGGGGAGGGAGAGATGAAGGGGGAGAACAATGTGCCATTTCTCCTCTTTCCCATATAAGTAACAGCAAAGGGACTGCGTGAGAGCGTTGCAAAGATACTCTGAAGGGGTTTACATGTGTGTGAGCCCGTGGATGGGAGGAAGCTGAAGATAACGACTCACTAAATAGTATTTTCTGTAATTGTTCTCCTTGTCCCTAGCTGTTGTATCTGTGCTGGCCAACTTCCCAAAGCCAAAACGCGGCACGGCAGTCAGTGCTGAAGTGGACACATAGCTGGTGTCGCTTTCCCCCGGTAGCATGTGGAAGAGATTAGATAAGGGAGGTGGCTCCTGCTGGGGGGAGTTATTCACGCTTCGGGGCACTTGAAGGGTATGCTGATTCTCACACGTCGGCGTGAGCCCTGCCAGATAGGGTCTAGGAAAGCTGGCTTTATCAAAAAGCAATACACATCAGCCCGGCCGATTGAAAGGCAAAATCAGTCCTCCCCTTCGGTTTACGCTGCGGCTACAGGTAGCCTCAGAGAAAAAACGGCAGTTGCCGACCGTGGTTATCTTTGATGTAGGCTCCTGACGATCAAAGCGAGAACCAAGAAATCCAAACTACCAGTAACTTTTTCCAGCCGCGTGAAGGTTTCTGTTGAAAAAACTGCGTCGCGCGTGTACTTTTTTATTCCTGTTGTTTTGGGGTCTTTTTCTTTCGTTCTTTTTTTTTTTTGTTGTTGTTGTTTTCTTTTCCCCAGGCGAAATAAAACCACTCGGAATGAAAGCCAGCCTTTTAGGACGCGTACCTACCCCTGCCGGGCGCCTCGGGATAGCACTTCGGGAGAGGACACGCCGGCAAGAGCCGGATCCCGACGGGAGCGGAGGGGCAGCCCCCCACACCCCCCTCCCCCCCCCCGGCAGCCCGGAGGGGCTGGAGGAGCGAAGGAGTTAAAGGGAGGCGCTTGGGAAATCTGATGCTAACGAAGCCCCAGGAATGTTGCACATTTCCATTCCCCTCCAGCTTTCGGAGGAGGTCAGTCCCCGCTGCGGGCAGCGAGCTCCGAGGAGCCCCAGCCCCGAGGCCGCACTTGCTCCGGGCGCTGCCCCACACCTTCCCGCAGGTTACACCGGGAGACGCCGGGACGGGACGGGATGGGATGGGGGGCGGCGTAAAAAGTTTTCCATGGATTTGGGATGCTCTGGCGAGACCTGCAGAACCGAGGGGGAGAGGGACGGGGGCGTGTGTGTCCGCGGCTCTGCGCATCCCGGGCTGGGAGGGAAGGGAGCGGCGGGGCCGGGGCCGCCCCGCAAAGAGGGACAAGCTCCCCTGACCCCGCCGCGGCCTCTCTTCTCTTGCAGGCGCGGCCGGAGATGCCGGGGAGACGGCTGTGGTGGGCGCGCTGCTGGCTCGGCGTCTGCCTCTCGCTGCTGGGCGCCGGGGGCGGCAGTCCCGAGCCCTGCCGTGGTCCCCCCTGCGGCGGAGAGGCGGCCCCGCC